CCCAAGGTGAGGCAACTTCTCTGGGCCGGGACTGCAAGGGGCCCAGTAAGAGACGCCTTCAAGTAGCCCTGACTTCCCAAGGAGAGAGAGCATTTGGAACTAGGTTTAGACAGATGGTGTCAAGATTTCGAAGAGAAGGAAAAAGTTCGAAGAGGAATACCTCAGCAGGAGACAGCTGCTAGCAGCAAGCTGGCCTGGCCAACATGCCGGTTCTCCTTGCATTCACAGCCTGGCTTTACTCTACGGAGAGTCTGGTCACGTTTACTTTCTGAGTCAAGACGCTCTGGAATTTGCCGTAGCAGGAACTAGATTTTTACTTCTTTGTAAGAAAGAAAAAATTTGTCCTCTTTCTTTTGTGATTTAGTTTTCAGGTTTCTTTTCCCTTCTCAAAAGCAGAACCTGAAAATGGAGAGCGCTAACACCAGACAGGGGTGCCTCAGTAGTTGGAGAAGCAGTCAGCAGAAGAAAGTCTAATTTATTTTTAATGCTCATTTGTATGAATAGCCATGAGATTTATATCCTGTGACAGAAGTTCATAAATACTGTTTCTCACATTGGAGCTCTTGCTAGACCCGGGCATCAGGGAATTTGCACTGTGCCGCAGGCTTCTATCAAGATGACTACACAGCAGCATTATGGTAGGTTTAATGTCAATGCACAAAGAGCAACTGTAAAGAAACTACTAATAATTTTATAGTCAGGCAGTGGTGGCTCATGCCTTTAATCCCAGCACTCAGGAGACAGAGACAGACAGATCTCTGAGTTCAAGGCCAGTCAGGTCTACAGAGCGAGTTCCAGGACAAGCAGAGCTACACAGAGAAACCTTGTCACATAGAACAAACAAACAACAAACACAAAATAAAACAAAAAGCAAATGATTTCATTGTTTAAATTTCTAATGGGTACCAATTGCAGGGTAGCTACCTTCTGCCCTCTGCTTAGACTTCTTTGGACCTGTTTCTTTCTACCTTATCCTAAATTTTCCACTTATGTCAGAACTTCAGCATTGTTTGGTTTTAAGAAAAATAAAATACCCCTCAGCTTTCTCTGCTGTGTTTAGGATTCCTATGAGGAACTATATCAGTAGTTGAGAAAAAAAAGTTATCTGAACTCGAGGAGCTTAACTTGGTGTGACAATTTTGGTTGTTCCGCAAAGAGATTTTTTTTTTCTGTCATTCATATTCTGGGAGCACAAAGAGAAGAGATTTCCCAGAGAAGGCTGTATTCCCTTGTACCATCAAGGCTGGGAAGAGGAGTGGGGCTGTGGTGGCTTCACTTTGACTTGCAGTGGGGCTTGGCTTCGGGTGGAATGCACTGTCAGATGTAGCAGATCCCCTGCCTTTATAAGCCAGCATGCACTCAAGTTTCTGGGACTCAGGTATGCAAAATAAATGACACTTGGCTGGAGAGGTGGTTTAGCGGTTAAACTGCTTGCTGCTGTAGCAAAGGACCTGGCTTTGGTTCTTAGCACTTGGTGTGGTGGGTAGCAACTCTCTGTAATTCCAGTGGCGGAGGATCTGACATTCTCTTCTGGCCTCAGTGAGCACTGTATCTGTGGTGTACAGATACGCATATAGGCAAAGCAATAGTGCACGTGAAATAAAGAAACCTTTAAAGAGAAAGGCTGGACATGGTGCCTCACGCCTTCAACCCCAGCACTTGTGAGACAGGCAGTCTGTGAGTTCAAAGCCAGCCTATGTAGTGAGTTCCAGGCTACCAGAGCCACATGATGAGAAAGACAGAAGCAAAGGGTGTATTAGCATTTAGAAGCTGGAAAAGCAAAGGGACAAATTCTTCCCTAGAGTCTGTAAAGAAATGCTGTAGTGTCGGCACCCTGGTAATAACTTAGTGAGGATTCTAAGGGAATCCGCGAGTCATTTCGAGCCCTGGCTTTTGTGGTGATTTGTTACAGAAAGAACAGTAACTAATGTAATATAGAAGAGCAGTATAAGGTAGATACTGCTGCTATTGGTGTTTAGAGGTGGGGAAACTGAGACAGAGTGTCACAAGCTGGGAAGTGATATCTGTCCAGGAATGTAGTTTGGGACATTTATCGTCAGAGTTCATGTTCTTAACGATTACTCAATTTCACCTCCCAGGATTTCCTATGGGGAGGAGGAAGGCTTGCAGTGGAGACCCAGGGAAGCCAGTGAGCATGGCAGCTGGCTAGTGCAAAGCCTGTTTGGCTCAGAGGGAAGCTCAGAGCTCCTGGATTAATGGGAACCAGAAAAGAGTTGTCCCTCAGGGTAGGTTTGTACTCTTCTGATTAATCTTCAATCATTGCTTTGATCATGACAAACTGGTTTCCATGGTGTCCTAGATACAGGTTGTTAAGCAAGACTCTTTTTCTACATGGATTCCTTTGCTCAAGTCACCTGCCATTTCTTCCCACCTCTATGCCATGCAGTCCTCCCCCATCCCCCAGGTTCGTTCTCTCACCCCATCCCAGCTACCACTACCTGGGAGCACGTAGGTTCAAGAGCTTTGCCACTAAATGAGTCATCGCCTTAGCCTCTTTTTTTTAATTATTATTTATTTATTTATTTATTTGTTTTTCGAGACAGGGTTTCTCTGTGGTTTTGGAGCCTGTCCTGGAACTAGCTCTTGTAGACCAGGCTGGTCTCGAACTCACCTAGATCCGCCTGCCTCTGCCTCCCGAGTGCTGGGATTAAAGGCGTGCGCCACCACTGCCCGGCTCGCCTTAGCCTCTTTTTTATCCTGTCAGCAAGTGCCTTTGTCTTGTTCTCTTTTTTTCCTGATGTTTAATAGTTTATGTCCAATATGACTAACCTCGGTGAACTTGCACCAGGCAGAGGACACGATCTATTCAGAACAGTCATGATATAGAATTTTGTTCGTTTCTAAAAGAAATCTCAACGACTCACTCAGTTTTGATTTTCATGCCTTTCTTTGACTCCCCACTATTTTAAAGCCCGTCAGGCACTCTGGTAGCTTCTATTACAGAGTGTGACTAAGGGGCACCTCTGCATTGCTACGTACGGTTTCTGCAGCGTTCAGCTGAGGATCTGGAAAGTACTACACTAATATACGTCTCTAACTAACCAGGGGCAGGTCGCAAGGAAAAGTGGAGGCGGCGGTCTGGTGCCCCAGGGTCAGTGCTACCTCTCTAGGGGCAGGCCCCACCTTCTGCGCCCCACCCGGCCAGGCTCCGCCCCCCGGCACAAGCCCCGCCCCTCAGAGTCTCGCCGCGCTTGCGCC